GGAGGCAGGGGTCGGGCAGAGGCAGAGGGTGGGGAGTTTGGGCAGAGCACGGAGGGAGTTGAGTCTCCTGACCGCCTGGTGGAAGAAACTGTCTTTGAGCCTGCTGGTTCTGGCACGGAGACTTTGCAATCTCCTTCCCGACGGCAGCAGGCTGAAGAGGCTGTGGGATGGGTGTGTGGGGTCGCCTGCGATCCGGATGGCATGGCGGGTCAGCCGGGAGTAGTAAATGTCCACGAGTGGGGGCAGAGAGACACCAATGATCTTCTCAGCTGTTCTCACGGTGCGCTGCAAGGTCTTTTGGCAGGACACAGTGCAAGCACCATACCACACAGTGATACAGCTGGACAGGATGCTCTCAATGGTGCCTGTATAAAATGTCTGCATGATGGGGGGCGGGGCTCTTGCTCTCCTCAGTTTGCGGAGGAAGTACAGGCGCTGGTTGGCTTTTTTGGCCAGTGATGCGGTATTGTGGCTCCAGGACAGGTCTTCAGAGATGTGCACTCCCAGGAACTTGGTGTTGCTCACTCTCTCCACTGTGGCACCGTTAATGGTCAGTGGAGCATGCTGGGAGTGCGTCTTTCTGAAGTCCACAACAATCTCCTTTGTCTTCTCCACATTCAGGTGGAGATTGTTGTCCTTACACCACAAGGCTAGCCTGCTCACCTCACTCCTGTAGCTTGTCTCATCGTCGTTGTTGATGAGACCCACTACAGTCGTGTCATCCGCAAACTTAATAAAGAGGTTGGAACTGGAAGAAGGAGTGCAGTCGTGGGTCAGCAGTGTGAAGAGGAGGGGGCTCAGCACACATCCTTGTGGGGCTCCTGTGATTATTATTACTAGAGGAGAGAGGATGATGAATTGGGACCGGTCGGTTTACAGACAGGAGTAAAACAGAAAGTGGAGCGAGAGCTTGAGATGACATCCACAAATCCTGTTCCACCATCATTGTATTCATCCCATCCAACTTCGACATCTCCTTTTCAACCATCCCCTCCAACCTCGTTTCGAGGGGGCCATCCAATGACCTCTAGGGGAAGGGGAGATTTGGGAGTGGAATTTACTCTCACATACACACGCACATTCAACAATCCGCGCCGAAATAGGGACAGAGAAATGCCAAGAAAGAGACGTGGGACTGATCCAAGGGGGATTTTTTGTTGGTGTTGTGGGGCGAAAGGACACATTTCCCGTGACTGTCCCAAGAGTAAATTTGTAAGTGCATGACGAGATATGCCTGCTTCTCAGCAAGAGATAGCAACTTTCCTTGTTGGCTTTGTGATGGAAGGAAGTTTCATTTTGAAGGAGCACGGAAAGTGATAGCGGCTTGTTTGACGGTAAATTGATGGTGGATACTGTATCGATATTTGGATGAGGTGAAGGGTTCTCGCAGATGACAAAATTAAATGTTTGGAGATTCTTGGCCTGGTTGAGTGTGGTAGCAAGGTGAATATTTTGGTTTGTGTGTAGAGTTGTGTCTGAGAATATGTGTTAAATTAGTCTTTGCATGTGTGTAGTTAAGTGTGACTCTTGGCGCGACTCATGGAGTCTTGTTCGTTTTATTTTCTGGCTTTTGCAGTGTAGGAGGTTTGTACGGTATCAATTGTAATTACTTGTAATTGTAACTGTATTAATTGTAATTCCTAACGCCACTTAAGCTTCATTATTTCAACGTGCGCTACATGAAGTATGTGTAAATCAGAAAATGGTTGAGTATGGGTGTCGTGACACAGAGAGTTTTGGATACTTATAGTGGGTGAAATGCAAGTGAAAATGTTGACGGTGAGATGTAAGGTGAAAATGGAAGTTGAGTATGTTGAGAATAAAAAAAGGAACAGGCAGGTGAGGTTTGACACAGTGATGCTACGAAAGAGGAGGTCATTTAGGTTGAATAGAGGTTGAATAGAGCCGGAAGGTCACGAGATGCTTAGAAAGTTGTTTGTAAGTCATAGACACAATTTTTGTTTGTGTTAAGTGGTCGTCCGTGGACGTATGTGGGACGTTGTTATCTTTCTGGGAGGAGGTAGAATGTGTAAGTATACAGTGAAGGCCTTGATTTGGATGATTTGTAACTGTTGCCTGTCTGTGGCTTTTAATTATCTTATTATTTGTTTTATAACTGCTTCTGTTATGCTGCTAATTGCCAGAATGTTCCGATTATATTACATTGTTTTATGGATTACATTCACAAGGTGCACATTTCTCTTGAAACATGAGAAGAGCCATCACGGCTACTGATGTGGGAGAAATGATGGTCTTGTGTCGTGAAATTATGTAAATTCAGTTACAACTTTGCTATCCTTGGGTTGTGTTGTTGTGTCGTGAAATATGAAATGAAATGACTAGAGTTGAAGCTATGAACTGTCAAGCATATCGTCGAACATACAAATTCATGTTGGTTTGAGTCATGAAAAAAACTAAGATTTTAAGCCATGTCTCATTTGTGCATACACGGGCTGGATTTCTAATTTCGTTCGTCACAAGAGCAAAATCTTCCGGCTTTAATCAATGTTTATGTTTCAAGGTCACGTGTGGAGAATTTGAAATTGACTTTGTTAACTTAGAATGACTGCATGTTTTAAGGTCAGCAGTGGCATTTTTGAAAATCGCACACCCTCGGTGGTGTTTACCAAAGACAGTTGCGGAGTAGATAAGCCACTTGGCAGCCTTGAGCAGTGTATGGTGCGAACTCTGCATGCTGGAAGAGTGCTAGGAAGAAAACAAAAAAAAAGGAAACAAATGGATGACCTGCTGCACACTAACATGAAGTTTTTTGTCGCCTGCTTGGTGTTTGTTTGTTTGTTTGTTTGTTTGTTTGTTTGTTTGTTTGTTTGTTTGTTTGTTTGTTTGTTTGTTTGTTGGGCATGTAAACTGATAATAGCGATTTGAGAGGTAGTAGGAGGAAGTACAACAAACGTCTCTAGTTCTACCTCTCGTTCTTTGTGTGTTTTAATTTGTTTGATATCAATATTGTAGACCTAGTGGTCCAGTGGTTAGCACGTCGACCTCACAGTGCAGAGGTTCAATCCCAGCTCCAGCTTCCCTGTGTGGAATTTGCATGTTCTCCCTAATGTATTAATATATGCTTAGCCCCCAGAAGACTATGTATTTTGAGATGTCTGCCGTGATATGCAATTAAATTAGTACAATGAAATGCAAAAGCTTCATCACTTTGGAAAAACACAAGTTTGCTTCTCAATAATACTTACTGTAAGCTCCGATTGCATTTTGGGAACAGCCTTGCAAGTAAAATTAGCCTTGAGATCTGATAGACTCACCTGTCCAGCAGAGCTCCCCCCGGCTCACTCTCTGTGCGTCTTTAGCCTGATTCCTATCAAATAAATAAATTGATTTTATATTTATTTATTTATTTTATATAGGCCAAAATCTCAATAGGTGTTGCCTCAAAGAGTTGGTGTAGTGATTATTTATGTATTTAATAATAAAATGTTGATTAATTTTTATTAAGCACCGCCTTAATTTATCAAAAAGTGAACACTTGTTACAGTGCAGTTTCTGCTGTTACTGGAGATATTTTAGCGGACTATAGTCACTTGTTTTACCAGCATGGATGCATTGAATATTTAATTTACCTTTCGAAAAAACTGTCGAATATCCATGCTGTCGACTCAACCTGACTTTCGGCAATGAACTGTCAGTTGTTGCGTTAGCATTTGATGTGGCGATGGTGACAGACACGTCAAATGCTAACGCAACACCTGTTGCGTTCAGGAAACCTGGGAGATTTAACATTACAATAATGGCAGGTTATCGAAATATAATTTAAAATGGCCACATTACATTGATTTTGATGCAATATATTAGCAAAAGTACAGGAAAAATAAATAATACTTTTTTTTAAATAATGCAATGAAATTATTTAGGGGGGCTAAAGACATTTTAGGGAGGCTGAAGCCTCCCTAAAATAGGCCTAATGACGCCCATGCTCCCCAGACCTACGTGGGTTTTCTCCGGGTTCTCCGGTTTCCTCCCGTATTCCATAAACATGCATGGCAGGCTGATTGAACACTGTAAATCGTCCCTAGGTGTGAGCATGGGCTTGGATGGTTGTACGTGTCTGTGTGTGCCCTGTAATTGGTTGCCAGCCAGTTCAGGGAGTCCCCCACCGACTGCCCGAACATGGCTGGGATAGGCTCCAGCACCGCCCGCGAACCTTGTGAGGATAAAGCGGATCGGAAAATGCATGATTGAAGGAATTAATTAAAATTGTAATGGGTCATTTATTTTGTATATCTCAGTTTGACAGGCTAAGGAAGAAATCTAGATATTGACTAACACATTTCCCCTTATGCATGCTATATTTAAGGATGTTTGTACGACCTTCGGTTTGTACGCATACTATTTGAGCACACACGCTAGCATATTTATACAGTACATCACTTTTCTCTCTTACTCAAATTTGATGCTCCATTACATTATGACATCTCATTAATTTATTGACTTAAATCTGATTTGTATAATTATTTTGCGGTTTGCTTTTGGACCTGTTTTTGGACACAGCAAGTGGGTTGCGCATTTTCTGGTCAACATGGTGGCCAACATGATTGTTAGCGATTGGATGAAGAGTAACATAAAAAATATATATGGTATATCTATGTATATATGGTATTTCAACAACGAAGAGTGTGAGGGAAAAGTGGTTAGGAAGCCCTTGTTTTATGTTATGTGTTGTGTTTGTTGTTTTACTTTATGTTAACTGTTTTGTGGGGCGCTTTGTTAAAGCTGTGAAAGCGCTATATGAATTAGGATGTATTGTATTGTATGTGCTGAATTGATAAATCAGAATAACGAATGCTGTTCGTTATTGCATCAAATTGTGGTGTGAGTGCGGCACACTTGGCAACGAAGCAGCAATGGGTGCAGCTTCTGTTTTGTTTATTTCTTTATTTTTATTTTTTGGGAGGGGGGGACTTGCTGACTATCAACAACATGATAACGTATTAGGTTAAGTTCACTTCTGTTGAACATGCGGTAACAAATTCCAATTTGCGTCATGAATTATCTCGCGTTGGCAGGGGGAATGGTGTCTCTGGTTCGGAAACATTATACAACCTATGGTTTGAACCAATGTTTTGGTCCACAAAGTAATTTGTATCTAGAATGGGGTCAGTTTCTTCGAGCTACATTTCTATTTCAGATCATGCACATGGGTTTCGTTGAATAAATGAGGGGATGCCGTATTGCCCGGGTATGGTTGAGACTTTTCCAAAATGGGTCGAAAATTTATGGCAATGGATCACATTTTGCGAACAGGTTAATTGATAAAATAGAATGCATGTTTCACATTTTATTTGGGAGACCATTGCTCCTACCGTCCACAATCTGCAGGACTGGTAGCAAGTATGAAATTATATGGTTAAAATTCAATTAAAGAATTTGAATTGAAATTGGATTGGAATTGAATTGATTCATATGTTAATATTACGAGAATGGTGTCTTCTTTGTTTGAAATATTGTTTGGGAGACCATATAAATTATTGATATTTTCGACACAATTGTGAACTGGGAAATGAAGCTAATTCGGCTGACTATATGTGAGTAAGTTTCGAAAAAAAAAATGAATTCAGATTGCCGTAGTAGGATTGTGCTTTTTCACAGCAGGACGAAATGGTGGTTCCAGCAGACCTGGCTCTCATTCGAAACATGCAAAAGAAATATTGTACTTCTTTGAAGTGTTGCTGACCACACCGATTGACAGACATTGTAAAAAGGTCATCTCGATAGAAACATCCACCGAGGAAGGTGAGCGAAGTCCGGTGACGCGATGGGCACAGTATTTTAGTTACTGGGAACATCAAACGACCGGCGGAAGAAGTTTCAAGACACCTTTGCACTCATTTAGGGTGTGTTTCTGTCGACATGCTAGAATATCAGTGGTGGCATGTCATTTCCTGTTATATGATCACACTAACATATGGACAACTGTACTGGTCTTCTCATTTTTTTTTATGGTATTTGTACTCTCCTTTTGCACATGTCAAAGGGGATGTAATTTTGAATAATAACCTACATTTTGCTAATAGATCTAGACCAGGGGTGTTAAACTCATTTTTGTCACGGCCCGCTTTAGGGTTACACCTTCCTTCAGTGGGCCGGTACGACGGTGAAATTTAATTAAATGGTTAGATTTTATTACTTGTACAACTCAACTCAACTGTGTTTATAGAGCAACTCTATGTTTATAGAGCAACTTAAATCAACCATCGCTGTATACAAAGTGATGTACATGGAGTAAATATCAGAAATACAATGATGAAATGATTTATTAACAACAACATATGGATGAATTGCCAATTCTGAAACCAGTCATTTGTCGTACATAAAAATTTGACATTTCGGCAAAAATTTTAGCAGGGTTCATGGAAGTTGATGCGCGTGAATTGCTTTCGCGGGCCACATACAATTATGTGGGGTTTCGACTTTGACACCTGTGATCGAGATGATCTCGGGAAAAGAAAAGAAAAAACATATTTCGGCACAAATTGTTGTATACATTTTGGTTTTGGAGGCAAAGTGTTTTATTTATAATCGATCTAGTTGTTAATTTGGTCATAAAGGTTCAGATACGGATTTTAAATACATTTCTTAGGTGATTTTATGCGTTCAGGATCTTTTCTTTTAAGGTAAAAGGAAAACTTTTATGGTAAAAGGAAAAAAGAAAACAACCTGACGTTATTATAGTTATTCTTTGCTGAAAGTTGAACGATATTTCTTTCTTTTGTTCTTTTATTTTTATTTTATGTTACTGTGTGGATACGATGTAATGCAGGAGTGTACTTTGAACAATTTTATTGGCAAATGACGACTATCGCGGCGGAGAGTTTTTCTTTTTCTTTGTGAAGAATCATGAAAGAGCCCTGCCTTAAGGGTTGCCGCTGGTGTTTGCGCATTGGTGTCACTGCTTTTACCAATGACTATGTTTCCGTCCACAGGAGAGGATATTTGAGATTCCACCTACGTTGGTGTAATTGGGGTTCCTCGTGGCGTACCAGATGAGTATAAATTGGTTAACCAGGTTGCTGCACAGTGGCGATCCATTTTTTATAAACATGTTGACGGGATCTGCTACCTCCACTACAGTGTCCAGAAGCTTGCAAATTATAACGTAGAAGCCTTTTTGGCTATCACAAGCAAAACAATTGACAGTCACCTCTCTGATGGTGTTCTGGGAACGCACAGCGGTCAATATGCTCTTGGCTAAGGCCAATCGAGCGTGTGCGGTGTGTGGTGAACGGTGCTGTTCAACATCGCCCTGAGGGCCCCGCACACTGAACCGGATCATTCCGGCGTGACCATGCCCTCGTCATCCGAAATTTGGAGTTAGAACTTTGTCACGTAAAATACTGGTGTGTTCTGTCTTAATCTTTCAAATTCTTTTTGTCTCAGCTGTCTTGACATTGTGTGGATGTTGCTGCGGTCCCTGTATCAAAAGCTCTGCTTATCCAATTTATTACAACGGCTATGGCGCCCACGATGTCTAAAGTGAATGGAATGTACCCTCTGCTGTTAGTTTTGGGATGGCAGTGGTTCTGATGTGGAAAACAACTCGGGTTTTGGTGACTTGTTTTCATTTAAATGTCAGGATGTCGTGGACGATCTTTACAGTCTTTTCCTGTGTTCTTTTTCGGTCTCATTTTTGATCTGGTGATAACCTCTTTCTTTTCAACCACTGGGTCGACCGATGTTTGCATATACATGACTCCACTGAATAAAGTCTGTCAGGAGGGTTCTGTGTGATGATATGAGCAAATCTAGGATATACAGGGGGGAATGATGAATTGATTATTTTTAGTTATCATACATTCGCTTATTATTAATGTTATTATTGGTATTTTGATATTTATTGATTGATTGATTGATTGATTGATTGATTGATTGATTATGCTCGCAAAGAAGAACGCTGATGCCTGCAATGATAAATTGATTATGCGAGCAATCATTAATTGACTATGCCTGCAATGAAGAACGCTTATGCTTTGAATAAAGATATAATGCTTCTTAATCATTATATATTAATATTTATCTACTCACATTTATAATCAAGAATGCTTCGTGCACTGTGTGGAAGTTTAGGGACGCAACCACCTTTCCGAGGACGTGGTTAGGAAGAGATAAGTGTTAAGACTAAACAGGAGCAAGGTTGGACAGTGAATGGAGCCATCAACACCAGCTGCAACGTGATGTTTTTGGAACAATTGCACACATGTACGTAATTTACACTCACATACACACACATAGTCAAACAAGTTCGGTGTGACTTCAACAGCCCCCACCCTTGAGGTTGGACACACCTATGTAGTAGATTTCCCAATAAATGAGGGGGTGAAGGGGGAGATCGTTAGGGTGACGTGCCGAGAACTGAAACCTAACGCTTGTCCTCGTTCCCTCCTGGTACCAGAATTGAGTCTCCTGTCTCCTCCTTGTGTTTTATTCGTAAGTGTCGAATTGGATCAACCTGACACCAAGTATTTGGTGCTGTATTTGGACATGTCACTGACCAGGAGTTGATCCAACTCTGACTGCCCCCAAAGCAGGCGAGTTTACCTCAAGACGACTAGTGACTGTGAATGGCAGGGCATTTTGGTCATATATGATACAACGTAATGGGGTTTTCCCAAAAAGAAAAAATTAACAAAGTGTTTCAAATTTTATTTTTGCACAATACTGAGTAGGTTTTGAACCCGCACTGCCTGCACCAAAAGGCGGCGAGTTTACCACTATAACACCTGTGACTGTGAATGGCAGCGCACTTTGGTCATACATGATGCAACCTATCGGGGGTTTCCCGAAGTAACTGTTTAAAATTTTATTTTCACAGTTCATTGAGCAGGCTTTGAACCCGTGCCGCCTGCACTAAAAACCTGCAAGTTTACCACTACACTACCAGTGACTGTGAACGGTAAGACACTTTGGTCATACATGATGCAACCTATCGGGGGTTTCCCAAAAAAGTAACTGTTTAAAATTTTATTTTCACAGGTCATGAACCCGTGCCGCCTGCATCGAAAACCTGCGAGTTTATCACTACATTACCAGTGACTGTGAATGGCAGGGCTTTTCGGACAAATATGATGCAACATAATGGGGTTTTCCCCCCCAAAAAATTAAATACGTGTTTAAGATTTTATTTTCACATGATACTG